AAGTTCTTCTAGCTGAAAAAAACACTTTCGAAAGTATTCAAATAGTTCCAAATGCAACTTTTTAGTATTAAAAGTAACTTTTAACTTTTTAAAAGTCCTGTTAAATAGACGGTAAGATTGATCGCTCTTTTCTCTTGGTAGATGGGGTTCCTTTTTGTCCTTCCTTTTGGAAAAAATAAAAAAGGCTCTATATTAGGGGCATATAAAAGACGGTCCCAAATAAATAGATAATGAAAGTTAAGGTTATATATGAATATTTTTCTCTTTTTTTCCCTCCTTCAATTTAGTTGATCTTTTTTTTAATAAACTAGTAAGATGCACGTGAAATACTGTAATTGAATATATAATAGCGTAAAAAAAAGTATGATGATAATTAGTCGAACATTGTCGTTGTTGTTACTTGATGAGTTTTAGCGTTAGATATATCAATACTTTATTTTTTATCGATAAATGGAGAATTTTATAAATAAAAATTTCAGTAGAAATACACTAGACAAGGTAAATAAAGGTTCATATAAATATTAATAAAGCTTGAACTAAAAAAGAATTATTTATATCATAAAACGAAAAGAATTTTAAATCGAACAAAAAATTATTTATAATATGAAGGAAAAAAAATTTTTAAAATAATTTTCAAATAAAAATATACTAAATTAAACAAAAGAAAGTTACGAAAATTAAATAAAGAATATATAAATAATATTTAAGAAAATTGAAAAAAGTAAATTTTATCATAAAGAGAAAAGAATTAAAAAAAATTAAATCGAAAAAATATTTATAATATAAACAAATCAAATTTAAAAAATTAAAATTAAAATAAATTATGAACGAAGAGAATCTCTCCGTGTGATGATGGAGAGAAGAGCCCATGTGATGGAGAGATTGAGAGAATCTCGCTCAACATGGAGAGAAATTTTCTATTTTTATTTTTATTTTTAATTTGTTTTGTTCATATTATAAATATTTTTTTCAATTTAAATTTTTTTGATTCTTTTCTCTTTATGAAAAAACTTAATTTTTTCAATTTTAATTATAATATTTATATATTCTTTATTTAATTTTCGTAATTTTCTTTTATTTAATTTATTTTGTTTTTATTTTTTTTAAAAAAATTATTTTAAAATTTCATTTTCTTCATATTATAAATACATTTTTGTTCGATTTAAAATTCTTTTTAATTCTTTTCGTTTTATGATAAAACGTAATTTTTTCAATTTTAATTAAATAATATTAATTTTAATTTTAATTATTTCAATTTAATTAAAAAACTTTATAATAAGTTTTTTTTTTTTTTTGCTTGCAATTTTTTTTTTTTTTTTGTTCTTTAATTTGTTAAATCATTTAGTTTTTTATTGGTCTAAACTGATAGTTACAATTCAATTCGCTTAATTTTTTGAAATTATGCTTTATTTCATTATCTCTTGTTCAATATTCTAACATTTAAATTTTTGCAGGATAGAAGACCATCTAGATGCAGTTGAGAAGGATCATCCTTAAAATTAAGATTCTCAATTTTAGTCATTATCTTGATTTTTTTCCATTTTTGGAAGAAAAAAATTCTTCTCAAACATTAAGGTAATGAGTGAATATAACATACAATGATCAAGATTTAATTATTATTAATTAAATTATTAATACTTTTCTACAATAATATATAAGATATATTCAATTCTTTTATTATAGTAATGGAATAAAATGACGTCGTTTTGTCATTCAACGTAGGGAAACGATATCGTTTTATACTGTAAATTCAATAAAAAAAATTAAAAATAAATTTTTGATTAAAAAATCCTTAAAATAGAGAAGAAAAAAAAAGAAGTCTTGGTTGTGTAGGTAAGTGAAGTAAAGAGCATGAATAGTTGTGTGAAAAAATAGAAAAGACAGAGAGAAGAAAGAGAAATGAAAACGATGATTACTTGTGAAAGTCAATAAAGACGAAAGAAAAATGAAAATGATGGTTGTGTGTGAAATAATTGGGCACGACTCAATAGAAACAATGCCACAACAAGTGCCTTTTTTATTTTAGTTAGGAAATGGTACTTTATTTTCCATCATAATTGTTCATACATTGTGTAACTATCTATTTGATAAAGACGTATAGTTAATTAATAACATCTTAAAAGTATTAATACAAGCCATCTATCAAAGATTGAGAATCAACGTGTTACATGTGAGCTTGACAAGCATAATGTCCAAAGTTTCTTTTTTTTCCCTTTATTTTTTCAATTTGCCATTTTAATTTATTTTATGCCCTTAATCACTTCTGTTAAAAGCTTGATTAGACAGGAGTAGGGTCATTACTTTTTATGATATAAAGCATTTTTGTAATTTGGATTTAATTAATTAGATTAATTTGAATATCAATTATATGGGCACATAATTCTTAGCAGTGTCCACTCACATCAAAATGTATCTTATTTAATTAATGACATTACATTTTGCTAATACAGAAAAATTTTCTAAGTATAGTAAATAACCAATCATCCAAAATATAGTAAACTACAAGTGCAACCAATGGGAGAATAAAAAGATAATTAAACCAATCATCTTAACAATATTGAGAAAGATACTATACATTTTATATTCATTTATTATATATTATCATTTAAATTAACTAAATTGTAATCAATGGAGGAGAAGAACTATCAGAACATATAATTAAATAAGTGAGTTTTTATATCACCCATCTCTTTTTCATTTATATATGTCCAAGATACTTTAATTATTACAACTTGATTAATTAAGATATATTTGTAATAGAGTAATACCAACTTCAGTTTAGGTGGTGCTAACGTAACATTAAATGATAAGTGAAACTAAATGACTCATTTAACTCCATATTTCATTTGACCTATTATTCAGTGTCATCTAAACTGGGATTACAATTCCATTGACAATACATAGCATTGTTCTTTATAATAAATCTAGTACGACTTGAAAAATAAATTCAATTAACAATTCGTCTATACTTAAGATATAATTGTCTACTTCTCATTTAAGTAATTAAGAACTGAAGCACTATCAAAGGTGAAAAAGTTAGTACTCACCCCCATCCTCCCCATGTTCACATTTTCTTTCAGAAGTCATGAATAAATTATTATTTTTTTAACAAAATTTAAAAGTATGATACCAAAAAATAAGAATTAAATAGTGGATGACAGAGCCTCAATAATTAGAAATTGAGTCGAAATTATGCTTTTAAATGTCATTTTTAAAGAAGACATTAACATTTAATGAGAAAAGGGAAGATTTTATTTGATCATTCTCTCGGACCAGTTACTGATCATTGCCTTGGTAAAATACCTCACTAACTAGCTAATCTGTCAAGCCTTACTATAACCAACCTCACAAACCCTACTCAATCTTTTACATCGATGTATCGTACTCTCTCGACCAAGTCATCAAAAAGACTGCTAAATCTTTTCAAAACTTTGAGGTTCCCTTTGAAATGAGACATGAAAGGGAGCCACTAGGAAGTAGTTCTGGGAGTTACAAAGGAAGTTTCGAACTAGCTCACCTGAATTTTGGCATTACATATGTGAAAATTAAAGTTTGCCTTTCCCACTAAAATATATGGTTGGGCATACAAAAGCATAAAGTGACCCTCAACTTTCTATTCAATATAATTGTGATCAAATCAAGAGGGTCGTTACTATGTGATTCATTGAATTATATGCTCATTAGATTCTTTAAATAATTAAATGCTTTAAAAGGGAATTAAAGGAGTTAAATGGCTGTGTCAGCAACATTTTGTCAGCCTGAACTCGGCCAGGACAAGCACAGAATTGATACACTATCAAATAATATAGTAGTAACAATTGAATATAAATGATTGGTGTCCGTCTGCCAAGGTCACTAGTGTTGAAACTTTTACCAATTTCATCCCAATATATCAAACATACCTATGGTACGACTGGGTTGGGATTTGACAAGCTTGGACGATCCAACCTATTTTTTGTGGATTTGATATAGGGAAAAGTCTTAGTGTACATAGGAGTGTTCATCCTCCTCATGTACACCAAACACAACCCTTGATATAATCGTTACTCATTGAAAGGAAAATGTCTAAATTAAAATTAATTTTGGGCCTAATTAGATCAATGAAGACTGTAGTACGAACTGAAGGGCCCAATAATACCAATCTTTTGGAAGAAAATTTCTTGGGAAAATTGACATCAATAGCAGTTAATGGGTACCAAAAACGATTGTACTAATGTATACCAGTCAATTTGTTATTGCATGACACTGACTAAATGAAACAAAAAATATATGCACGGTACTGTTACAGACACATTTTACTCAAACTTAAAATAAATAAATAATAATAATAAAGAATGCTAGGTTTGTTCTATTAAACCTAACATCCCAACGATTTACGTTTCCAAATATCGAATAGTCCACCTTCATTTCATCGATAATAATGGCTATAAATAGAGAATTATATAACTTCCTAAATTATAAGGTACATGAATCCATTTTCTACTTAAATAGTAGATAAAGAAATCATAACCACTATTGATTTATTCAAAATAAGATAAAAACAAAAATTTATATAACATACCAATAAATAATATACTAAATAAGCTTGATAAGTTACAATCGTAAGAGGTAATAGCAACATTTAAAGTATGTAGATTCGATAAAAGATGAGATCGTCAAAATGTATCCAAAACATGTCCAGCTCTTAACTATTTTAACTAGTCTCTTCATTTCTAAAAAATGAACAAGAAATAATTATAAAGAGAATGAATTATGGCATGGTTCACAATGCATGATCACATTATGCTCTTGTTCTCTATTCTCAATCATGTTCAAGTCAAACAAATCTTTCATAAGAATAATTGAACCTAAATTCTTTAAGCATTATCGTTCTTATTTAATGGGTCCAAGTTGGTCATAACGTTACAACTTGATCTTTTCTCGTAATTTCATCGGAGTCTTTTTTTCCTTGGCAAGAACCAAGATTCCTCATCTCTCAGAGATTCACACAACAAACGAAGAAAGAAAATAAGGAGAAAGTTCTATTAATTACAGAGTCACACAATTATTAGAACAATAACGTAAACATTATGACTATCTTTCAATATCTTTAAGAGACTCAAACATTACAGCATATAGAAACCATATACGAAGTCAGCCTTACAGCTTATGGATTGAGGAACTTATCGAACCACTTACTGGCTCTTTTGACCATCAAAGGTGTCATCTGATGCCCAATTCCCGGTTCTGCTACCACCTGAAAACATAGATTACGCCATTACGGGTTAAAACAAAAAACAAAAAATAAAAAACTGAACTTATCAAACCGATCATTGGCTAATAATCAGTCATGCTCTGTGTGAGATAGCAGGTGCACATGCTGCTATTGAAACAAAGATTTTTTTATTTTTTATTTTTAATCACGTTTCATATCAAATTCATAAGAAACGTCTAAATTATTTCTATGCCTATTAGCCGGAATAGAAACAATCCTCTGACTTTTTGTCGTTGATTTTTTACAGCATAATGAGGTTTTTATGCCTATGAGCGTGTGACGGTGTGAGCACGTGTTTCTGTTAACTCTTATTGTCTTTCTTTTCTTTTTGGTTAGGGGGGCAGGAAGCGTGGATTCCTACCTCGAAATTTTCAAGACAACTGGAATTTTCGTAAGCTTTTCTGGCTCTTGATTCTGGGAGTTCCAAGCCATCAATTGGACAACGAGGATCTTCCTTGCCTAAAATTTCCAAATATTCACGTCAATGCAAATGCCTTGTTTTTTAGGAGAAAAATATAATAAAATGTATACATTTTGAAAATATAAATGAATATACATTAATACCATTTAAAATCAGGAGAGGACGAGGGGCAATGGCTGGAATTGTGTAAGGCGAATCAAACTGAGAGGCCAAACCAGGAGCTATTCTGTCCCAGACCTGTTGACAATTATGGTATCATCAGGAGTTCAACATTCAGAGTACATAATGGATTAAGGTACATATATGGGTGTCAAAAGGTGCCAGCCCGACCCAAGCATTTAACACTGACCTTCTCCACTACTACTTTATCAATGGAGCTCTTGCCTAAATCAATCCGTGCTTCTGGAAACAAAGAACAGTAGAGTAACATTCAAATGTTCACGAGTCAAAAAATGCTTTTCAAGTATAATTTATACTTAGGCACCGTTTGGGAGTGATTTTTTACTCCAAAAAATTGATTTTTTGACCATTATTTCACTATTTCAACCGTAAGTTTTGACTTCTTCTCTCATAGGTGACTCCCACTTTTCTCCTAACGGTCAAAAAATCAATTCTCAAAATCATTACCGAATAAGCCCTTAGTATATGGTGATAATTAAAATAAGTGCGGGACTGTAACAAAAAATCCTTTCAGGCTTCCCTGTGTCTCACCTTCAAATACAGCCTTGATACTGTCAACTCGAGCTTGCCACTTGTCATGTTCAATTGCCCATCGAAATCCCTAACAATTGTCAACATTTTATAAGCAATTAACCCTAATACTAAGATCTTAGAATTCCATGATTTTCACATATACATTTAATTGATCAAGAAACACACCTTGATCCATGACAATTAATTGAAGATTTAGACTTGCAAAATTTGAGAAACAAGAAAATGTTTCTCTCTTTTCTTCTCTGTAATTGAATGTATTTAATTTATGGATTTCATTCGCGTTTATAGACAGAAAGACACAGTTTTTTATGGGCCATAAAAATTACCCACTTTTCATCAAAGTGGACTGTTATAAAACTGCCACTTCTCAATAGGCCAAATGGATTTTAGAAATATTAACCACTTTAAATAATTCTTTAATAATATTACATGGGCCACAATTAATTGGTTTTACACATTTAGATTGCAAGATTAGTTCACCTAACTGATCCAAAAGTTCAAAGACCTACCTGAACACCAATTATAGGGACAACCACTGAATAGCGAGTATCAGCAGCAGCTGCAAACCATGCATGCATTCCTGCGTGGAGGCATTGCATTGTGAGCTCTGCAACATGAAGAAAGATTGATATTTAAATTTAGTTATCTTCCACTAAATTTTAACAACCTCCAAGTGATTCTCCAGTAATTCCTATTCTGGATGGGTCTACATCCTCCCTTTGTGTAAGATAATCTGCCAATTTTATCAAGTCCCACACCTGCAAAATTCAGCTTATGCATCTTTTAAGATGGAACATACGATTTTTTTGAAAATGTATAGCTTCATGGTCCACACTGTAAGAAAAATGAGTCTTGACTGACTCATCAATTTATATAAAAAACTTAAAATTGTCAATATTGACTTGTCCAAATCCATTGAGAACTGTCTTTAACAAATACAGGATATGGCACCATTACCGTGTCAAAAATAAATGGCATCGTATTTCCTTTCTTCCATGATGACACCAGAGCCTGCATAACGAGAGAAAAAAAGGTTCAATCTAATCACTGATGATGAACTGGGATAATCTGTGAGCTCATTAAGAAGCCTACAGATCACATGCACAAGTCTGCATATGTTTGCAAGCCATACACCACTGTACGTAAACAACACCTTTAATTCCTCATCATGTCAAGGACCAGAGAGCTTATCCATTTACCAATGCATATTATTTCTGACTGAATAAATTTTTAGTTTCATATATCAAAAAGAAAGAAAACGAAAGGCAGCGATCTAGTAAACGCACATCTCTATAGGTTGTCAGGCTGCTGGCACGCTCTCCATGATATCGAGAATCAATGGCTATTGCAATGTAATCCCTTGAGGCATATGCCTGAGACAAAGGGAGAAAAGACAAACTCTCGTCCATTAAAACATCTTATGCTGCAAGCATGTCAGAAAATTATTTAATAATCACCTCAAGCAACGGCCGCAACCACTCCTTGCATTTATTTGTGCTATGTAGAAAGACAATAGCTGGTCTTCTTTTTTTGCAGCTTTCTTTCATACTCAATATCAAAACCGGCAGACGTCCTTGATCTCCTTTCTAGTTGAGGATATGAAATGATTAGCAAACTCTCATTCTAATGGAATTGAGAAAGAATACCTATATAACCGGTGCATCACTTTGTAGTTTTATCATAAAATAATATCATTCAACGAGAACAATCGTATATGTAACGTTTGAGGCTTTAAAACTCCTAATGTTTATCCTTAATAAAATAATCTGGAGCAATCAATTTTCCACCTATGTATAAAATTAGCGATCAAAAAAGGACATGACTTATATATTTGTCTTTTGGTTTGAAGGTGAGGGGGGAGGTTCTAAACAAGAGAGACAGATTCATTAAACGATGGCCATAGAAACTGCCACCTATCAATGCACTTAGGAATTGGATAAACTGTTAACATAATGAACTGTTCTCCAAACGGGGGAAAAAGATAAATGGAATAATGATGCTCTTATTTTCATATCAGAACTTTCTGCTCTCTGGTGTTGTGTCAAACTTCAGAATTATCATTGGGCTGTGATGCCAAATAAATATTAGTGTGTCCAGCCCATTTGGGCAATGATGATATTAAAAGGTCCAACAGATACTACCCAGCCCATTGCCCAATAATTCAATGTTGAAAGCAACTGAAACCCGGCCCAAACCCAATAACCCACGTGTGTCGCTCTGGACCCTTTGATCTACTTAACCTAACATCTACGGTGATAAACCATTAATATATAAACGGGGTTTGAGACTTTTGGCCCTAATTCGAGTCATATTTTCTCTACCTCTTCGTGCTATTTTCTCTCGAACCTTCTAGGTTTCTCTCTTCGTGACTCTGTGTCTTCTGCCTCTTCTCCTTCTTCGTGAATCTGGTGATTAAGCCACAAAACCTCTGATTTTTTGGCCACTGTGTGTGCTTCCAGTCTGTGTGACTGTTCGGTTGTGATTTGTCGAGAGTTTCCCGTTCGTGTTTGAGTGATTTGGGTCCATTGTAGCGACTGCCTCTGTGTTTGTGGTTGGGACTGTGGTTTATGAGTTTTCACATTGTACAGACAGGTACAATGCGTGATCTGAGCCCAAATCGATGATAAACTTGATGCCTTTGGTCTAAGAGTTTTCGGTCATTTGTTGAGTCGATTCTTGGGTCTTATCTTGTAACACATTTCAATTCAAATTTGGCTTCAACAAGAAGCACGAATGCACATACTTTCATGGTTCATCTCTACGGTCCAATATGACAGTAAATTCATGCACACGGGCTGTCAGCCAAGTCCCATCTTCTACAAGCACATGTGCGATCTGGAAGATCGACAACAAACTCTACATCCTTGCTTTTCACATAGGACTGTGGCCCGTCCTAGCCAATCAACTTCACAACCTTCAGTAATTTCAATACATTTTACCCATTTTTATGAATCTTAGGATACTAAGGTCATGTTGCCATCCTCATCTTGTCTCGTCTTACTTGTATCCCCTTCATAAAGCTCATATGGATGTCAATCAACATGATGAGGATGGATCTCTTTTTGTACTCTAAGATGACCTTATTAAAGTAGTAATAGAGGAATTGGTGCTGCACTACTGCCTTGCACGAGCTTCAGGTTAGCAAGGACAGGTAAGGATTAGAAACTCTAATTTCATGCCACTGAGAACAATAAAATCATAGAAAGAAAATAAACACATAAGAACTTGCAAAATTTTTTATAAAATGTTTGCCTCAAAATGAGATTGTCTTATTTTCGCGCTGCAATAATTCGTTATGATAAAAAGAATTTTACAGGACAAAATTGCACACCATGTTTTCTATAACCTCACTCTTTTCTTCTTCTTCTTCTTCCTTTTTTTTTTTTTTTTTTCTCTTTTCTCTCTTCTCTTTCTCTTTTTCTCTTTCTTTCTCTCCATTTTCGTTTTCTGCTTCCTCTATGTGCAAATGAAATGGACTTTTATTTGTTTTTCAATGGATTTGGATTGGTCCTCCACCGCCTTAATCATTTTTTTTTTTGGCTAAAGTTTGACTTTTTTTTTTATAATACTAAATTAAGGTATTACAAGTTGTCTCTGTCAGACATCCGAAATCTAAAATTAATAACTACCTCACTACACACACTTCTGTATCACTCAAATTGGCTTTTTCCCTCTCTTAGTCTCATCCCTATTGCCTTTTTTCACTCAATATTTTTACCCAAGTGCTGCAAAGAACTAATCCGTTTCTCGAAGAATTCAAATTAGATTGTGAGTGATATTCATAACTTTAGAAAACTTAAGAAAGAAAGAAAGAAAAGAATTGGACACTTTGAACGGGAGCTTTCAATTCAAGAAAGTGGTTTTTGAATTTTGGGTGGTAATTTTCGAAAAAAAAATCAATTTTTTTTTTTTGCAAAAAAAAATCAATTACGAAACCAGAAAAACAAATGAAAATTGACTTAGATAGTAAATTAGCCCAAAAATAAATTTTAAATTATTTTGGTATTTTTATGGATTAAAGACGCAAAGGGACGAAGAACACGAAGAAAAAGAAAAAACAAAGACTCAAAACAAAAGAAAATGATATAACCTTGATTTTTGGAGCCTAAACTCAGATACAAAATGATGTGAACCACGTAACAATTGAAGTTACGAAACCCACATGAGATTGAATCGAACCCAAGAAAGCCAATAAATCAAAGTTTTGGATTTTACATAAAAATAATGAATCAAGCAACCAACCAATAGCCTACAATGTATTGACCTCTTGATTACAATATTTGTGAATCTCACCCCAGTTGTTTGAATACCACAAGAATTAATCTTGATAAGTTCAGGAAATTGCTCAACAAAGAACAAAGATTGAAAGCAAATTTGCCTCTCAAATTGAATATAATATCAAAGTTGTTTACAATAAAATAATAGGTCCTATTTATAGGAAACTCGTAAAACCCTAATCTACACGAAATTAAAGTCTAAAGAATACAAAAGTTGCCCAAAAATAGAGTTCTAACTAAAATAAAAGATTACTCGAAATTGGAAAAATTGAGTCCAGAATTTAAACAATGCGGTCGCGTATTGTCACACCATGCAGACACATAAAACAAGTTGAAATCTCCAAATCGGTCTTGATAATAGGTTATGCAACTGCATCCCTTTTTAAGCTATGCGATCACATAGCTTTAATAATGACTCATCTTTCTTCATGTGCAGAATTTTACAACGTTTCTGGATTGTACTCATGGGCAAAAATCCGATGCCCAAGCTGAAAGTTATGCACATTTTCATCCACGTTGCTCATTTTTCTCATATATCCCCCAAAGCTCGAATTCAATGCACCAAACTTGACCCCACCTTCATATCCAACATTTAAGTTGTTATTTGGCTTGTTGCACTCGATCTCTTGCCCTCCACATCTCGGATAACTCATTCCGTGACCAACTTGATCCTCCGTAGCTTTTGATCTTGTCTTTGGTTCCTCTTCAAGTTGAGCTGAATCTTTGTAAATTGTTTGTCTTCCTTGGATCACATCAATTCGAGTTGGTTCATTCTTATGTATGGAGACCATTCAATATTTCTTCTAAAAAAATTCAATATTTTGTCACATTTTCGGATGACTATTCTCGTTTGACTTCGTTGTTCTTAATGAAAAATCGTTTTGAGTTACTTTCTATCTTCCAAGTCTTTCGTACTTCGAAAAACTCAATTCAATCAAAAAATTCCTATTTTATAGTTTGACAATGCCAAAGAATATATGTTTACTTCTTTTACATCCTATCTCTTTTTTAAAGGCATTACTCATCAAACATCTTACACATATACTCCATAACAAAATGGAGTTGCAGATTGCAAAAATCGTGATTTGTTAGAAGTTATTTGTGCTCTTCTTTATCATGTGCATGTCCTTAAATATTTTTGGAGTGATGCTATCCAAACTACATGCTATCCTCTATTTTGGACGGTGCATCTCCTCCCCCCCTCTTGTTTTCCTCCTCTCCATAGTACTCGTTACCTTTCAAGGTTTTTGGATATGTTTGTTATATTCATCACTTTGGTCCTAGTTGTGACAAACTCAACTCTCTCTCTATGAAATATATTTTTCTCAGTCACTCTCAAACATAAAAGAAATATCGGTGCTACAATCCACTTCTACAACACTATGCTGTAAGTCTGATGTCACTTACGATGAGTTCATACCCTATTTCTCTCATCATAGTATGTTTCCTAAATTTACTCAAAATCATGTTAGCTTACCCGTACCATATCTACTGATTCGTACTTCTCCAGAACTAGACTCATCTTCCTCTAATGCACAAGAGTTGTCCTCTCATAAGAAACCAACTCCTCCTTTACAAGTTTAAACTCGACGATATAAGCCACCAATGCATGTGGCCCCATCCATCGCCTCTCCGTCTACATCCATCATGTGTTCTGATCCTGAATCATTGCCCATTGCTCTCTGTAAAAATGTACTTGTATAACTAATCATTGTATCAGCCATTATGTGTCTTTTGATACATTGCCACCTTCATTTTCCTGTTTCACGTCCTAAATTTCTAGTACTTTTTGTACTTAAGATAGAAACTTTATCCGATCCTAAGTGGCGAAAGGCTATGGAATTGGAAATGGCATCTTTACACGAGAATAAGACTTTGGAATTTGTTCCTTCACCTCCTAGAATACATCCTATTGGTAACAGATTTCTAAATTCAATCCTGTTGGGACTGTTGATCAATTGAAAGCTCGACTAGTTGCTAAAGGTTACACACAAACATATGGCATTAGTTATGATTAAACATTCTCTCCAGTTGCTAAGATCTCTTCTATTTGTGTTTTGATTTATATTGCTGCTAATCTTGGTTGGCCGCTGTTTCAATTGGATATTAAAATGATTTCCTTCATGGTGACTTGTATGAAAATGTTTATATGGAGCTACCACCTGGGTTTGTTGCTCAGGAAGAGTGTGAGAATTATATTTGTAAGTTGAAAAATGCTTTTTAAACCATTCAAAACAGAAATTTAAATGCAGAAAGTAAAGTGAAAACACAAGGATTTTTCGGCCGAAGCCCCAGAGGTTCAGCTTAAA